TCACCAGTGACCTCGACAGGCTCGACCGCGTCTACCTGGGACACACCTGAAGGGGCAGGACCCTGAGGGGGGAGGGGGTCTACCGGGGGGGGACCTGGTACCAAGAAGAGCGGGGGTGGGGGGAGGGACGGAGTGCGGTAGGGGAAGAGGCGGTAGTAGGGTACCGACTCGTCGAACGTGACGTCCTGGGAGGACAGAACACGGCGAGAGGTGGGGTGGTAGAACTGCCACCCAGGGGCGTCGGGGGGGAACCCCAGGAAGACGCAGGGAGCAGCGCGAGGGGACAGCTTGTCCGCAGACAAGTCGCGGACAAACGCCCGAGATCCCCAGACCCGGAACGCCGACGCATCGCCAACCTTCCCCGTCCACAGTAGGGCTGGGGAGGTCTCCGGCCTGGAGACCCTGGGGTGGAGGTTGATCTGATGCGCCGCGTACCTGACAGCAAACGACCACAGAAAATGGGGGGCAGCCGCATGCATCATAGACGTACGAGCGACGTCCATGACCATGCCGATGCGGCGCTCTGCAATCCCATTTTGCTGCGGTGAGTCCGGAAGCGTGAAGGTCTGGCGGACGCCTCGCGCACTACAGTAGGCACGCAGAAGGCCAGAGGAGAACTCTCCGCCTCTGTCCGAGTGCAGATGTAACACAGGAAAGTCCGAGCCAAAGCTCTGCCTGAGCTGGAGACGAGCTGCGCGGATCCAGTCGATCAGCACCTCAGTGACATCACCCTTGCTGCGCAAGGGGAAGACTGTGGTGTAACGCGAGCAGGGCCCCACACGTCCATGTGAAGTGTCTGCAACGGAGCCTCTGTCGGAGGAAACTGGGAGGAGTGAGGGGCAGCCCGCTGGCGCCCTCGACACAGGGGACACAGGCAGGGCCAGGGCCCTGAGGAAGGGGAGGGAGGGACCGGGGGAGACCAGACACAAGAAGACGGGAGGCCATACCTCTGAGCCGAAGCAGAGAGGGGTGGCCAAGGCGGTGGTGCCAGAGGAGGGTCTCGTGAGACAGACGGCGACACGAACAGGGGGCAGACTCAGGACCAGACCTGGACGCTGCAGAAAACACCTGACCCGACGCAGCTACCTGACCAGACTCAGCACCTGGAGGAGAAGCAGTGGTCAGTGTGTACAGGCTCGACCCTGGCTGACGTGTAAACGTAGCGAGGTGGCGACTTGTGCTAGCCTCTGTGCAGTGTGTCACCCGCTGACGAGCAGGAGTGAACTGGTGGACACCCGCATCCTGTAGGTCAGCACCACTCACCAGGTTCGTAGAGAACGAGGGGAGGTAGAGACCAGACAGGGTGCCAGAGGGAGCCGCCGGACACGGGAGGACTGTGGAGAAACAAGACAGGACAGGACCCCCAGAGGGGTCAGCCATGGACACCGCAACTGGCCGACTAAGCGGCGTGAGAGTGGTGCGGTCCCGAAAGAAGGAGCGAGACGCCCCAGAGTCAAGGGTGAAGGTGTGAGAGGCCGAAGCCGACACAGTACCTGAGGGTGCAGACTCACCAGTACCTGAGAGCATAGACGCACTGGCACCTAGAGCAGCAGCCTCACTGGCACCTGACGCAGCAGTACCAATGCCCGGGTCGGGCGGGAAACACCGGTAACAGTCACCCTCATCACTAGCAGTCACAGCATACATGGCAGCAAGGATAGCATCCAAGTCAAGATCAAAAATAGCTACACCAGCCCTAGACAGCTCTCCCCAGTGGGGTATCTCAGAGGCCTCCGGAAACTGCTGGCGCCAAGCGTCGGTCAGGCGGGCAAAGCAGCGGCGGGCGGTCTGGGTGCCCCCACACTGCTCACCCGCGCGGTCGCCGGTGCGAAGGACGTAGGTGCAGGGACCGAACGCCCCACCACGCTGACGCTGCAAGTACCACTCACGGAGCTGCTGAGGGGCGGGGACGTCGCGAGAGTGCTGCTGCTGCTGCTACTGCTGCTGCTGGCGCTGACCACCCCCAGTGCTGCTCCGCTGGGACGAGCCACTCCGACCATCTCCACCACCGCCACCCCCGTTTCCGCCGCCACCGCCACCCTCGCCCCCGCCGCTCCCACCGCCACCTCCACCGCCACCTCCGCCGCCACCTCCGCCTCCACTGCCGCCACTAGTACCTCCAACCCCGCCCCCACGTCCACCGCCACCCCCACTCCCCCCGCCGCCCCCACCTCCTCCGCCACCGCCCCCGCTAGCTCCACCCGCTCCCTTGCCTTCCTTGCCCTTGCCAGAGCGGCGCCTACCGCTGGGGGTAGACGCCACACCGACCGACTCTAGACCCACGAGGTCGGCCGCAACAGCAGAGGCAACAGAGGGTAACAGGGGGGAAGGAGAACACCCCTCAAAGATGGGGGTGCGGGGGTCACCACGAGAGGCCCCTACAGCGACTATGCTCTTCTCGGCCGCTAGTAGGGACTTCTCGAGGAGGTCGACAGTGAGGGTGGTGGGACAGACAGAGAGAAACTGGTCCCTAACAGCACGAAGGGACTCAGGGAGACGGGTGACTAGAAAGTAGAGGGTGATGTACATGGGAGGGGGGTTTTCGGCGCAGAAGGCAGCAGGAAGCGCAGCTCGGTAGCAAGTGTCACTAGCGCGAAGGTGGGTAAAGAGGTCAGCGACTGTAGGAAAGGCAGCAAGGTCAGGGAAGAGGTAAGGTAGCATGAGGCGGCTCAGTGTAGCAGTGGAAGGGGAGGAGTAGCGCGCAACTACAGCGTCGTACAAGGCCTGAGCGGTCTTGCACTGACTAAAGTGTGCACGCTCAGAGGAAGGGAGGTGGCGACGCACAGCAAGACGTGCAGCAGCATCGCGTGTGGCCCACTTGGAGCGAACAGTGGGGTCAGCATCAGCAGGAGGGGCAGGGACAGCGCCAGAGGCAAAGTCAAAGAGAGAGATGTCATCAACTGAATCGCACTGCAAGTACAGCTGCAGGTCCTCGACCCAGACCGCAAAGTCAATGGCGCGACCCTCAGCGTCAAAGGCCAGGACACTAGGGGTGGCCATGATAGCAGCCGACAGTCTCACCAAAGAGGAAGGGTCGAGCAGCTCAGCAGGACAGCAACACGGCAGCTCAGCAACTCCGCCGGTCCAGGAGTAGCAGCAGCCCCAAAGGATCGGCGCTCAGTACCGTAGGCGGCTCGGGCGGCTCGGGCGGCTCAGGCGGCTCGGGTGGCTCGGGCGGCTCGGGCGTGCAGCGGCACGGGCGACTCGGGCGGCTCTCTGCTCGGGGGGCGCTCGCGGCTCGGGTGACACGGGCGGCGCGGGCGTCGAGACGGGCTGCTCACGGGCGGCTCACGGGCGGCGTCATAGGCGGCTGCACGGGCGGCACTGGCGGCTGCACGGGCGGCTGAACTGGCGGCTGAGGGCAGCTGCACGGGCGGCTCACGAACGGCGGCTGACGCTGACGGGTGCGCGGGCGGCTGTACAGGCAGGTGCGCGGGCGGCTGCACGGGCGGGTGCGCGGGCGGCTGCACGGGCGGCAGCACGGGCAGTTGCTCGGGCGGGTCGTCGGGCGGCGCACAGGCAGCTCACGGGCGGCTGCACGGGCGGCGCATCGAGCTGCTGAGGGCGACGCACGGGCGGCGCACGGGCTGTGCACGGGCGGCGCGTCGGGCGGCTAGCGGGCGTCGGGCGCACGGGCGCTAGGGCGGCGACGGGCGGCGCTCAGGCTCTAGGGCGGGCGGCCGTCAGGCTCTAGGGCGGGCCGCGCTAGGGCTCTAGGGCGGGCAGCGCGCGGGCGCTAGGGCGGGCGGCGCTATGGCGCTAGGGCAGGCGGCGCTCAGGCGCAAGGGGCCGTTAGGGCAGATCGAAAAAAAAAAGGAAGAGAAAGGGGCCCGGAGGGCGCTCCGGGCAGAAAAAAAAGGTTACGAGGTAGTGGTGGTGGGCCCTAAGCACAGTTCCCACAGGGGAACCTGCTCGATACCATGAGAAGAAGTGAACGAGAATGAAATGACTATGAATGAAGTGAGTACAAATAGGAAACCCTAATGGGATTGTACCCCCTATGGGATACCCCACTATAGCCTACACAAATGAGTAAGCTGTAAAGTTCTGACACAACACTTCTAGGTTTTCCTACTTGTACCCACCTGCTTGCTAGTTCATTTCATTTCCTCAATTCTCACATGGTTTAGAGCAGGTTCCCTAGTGGGAACTTCCTAGGGCCCACCACTGAAAATCGATTTTTTCCTGCCCTGAGATCGAGTCGCCCCTGACCGAGGCGCGCCCTGTGTGCCGCCCTCCCCTTAGCGACCCGTCGCGCCACCCTTAGCGCCCCCCCCCCCCCCCCCCCCCCCCTCTCTCACGGCCCCTCGCGACCCCGTCGCCGCCCCCTAGCGGCCCGTCGCGCCGCCCTCAGCGTCCCCTTGCGGCCCCACCTCCACGACCCCGTCCCCGCCCTATCGTAGCCCAGTCGCCTCCCTCTCGCGGCCCCGTCGCCGCCCTTAGCGGCCGCGTCGCCGCCCGTCGCGGCCCTGCAGCCGCTCCTCGCGGCCTCGTCCCCGCCCTCTCGCGGCCGCGTCGCCGCCCTCTAGCGACCCCAGTGCCGCCCTCTTACGGCCTCGTCGCCGCCCTCTCGCGGCCCCGTCGCCGCCCTCTTGCGGCCCCGTCGCCGCCCTCTCGCGGCCCCGTCGCCGCCCACTTGCGGCCTCGTCGCCGCCCTCTCGCGGGCTCGTCGCCGCCCTCTTGCGGCCCCGTCGCCGCCCTCCTGCGGCCCCGTCGGCGCCCTCTTGCGGCCCCGTCGCCGTCCCGGCCCCTTCACCGCCTAGCTGCCGAGCAGCTGAGCCGCCAAGCCGCCGAGCACCTGAGCCGCCGAGCCGCCGAGTCGCCTGCAGCCGAGCCACCGAGCCGCCGAGCCCGAGCCGCCGAGCAGCCGAGCCGCCGAGGCTGCCGTCGAGCCGCCACTGCCTCTGTCGAGCCGCTGCCACCGCTGTTGCAGCCCTGTTTCTACCGGCGCGCCCCGGCCCTACCCACCCGGACTGGTGAGAGCACTCCCTGCTAGACCAATGCTGTCATGGCTACCCCCAGTGTCCTTACCTTTGATGCTAAGGGTCGTGCTATTGACTTCGAGGTCTGGGTCGATGACCTGCAGCTTTTCCTCTAGTGTGATAAGGCAGACGGACTCTCCCTGTTCGATCTCACCTCTGGTGCCTCTCTTGCCCCGCCTGCTGATGCTGACAGCACTGTTCGCTCACAGTGGGCCACGCGCGATGCTGCTGCCCGTCTTACCGTGCGTCGCCACTTACCGACCGCTGAGCGTGCGCACTTTAGTCAGTACAAGAGTGCTAAGACCTTGTACGACGCTGTAGTTGCACGCTACTCTTCCCCTGCCACTGCTGCTCTTAGCCGCCTCATACTGCCGTACCTGTTTCCTAACCTCGCCGCCTTTCCCACTATAGCTGACCTCGTTACGCACCTTCGCACTAGTGACACCCGCTACCGCGCTGCGCTTCCTGCTAAGTTCTGCGCCAAGAACTCCCCCCCCCCCCCCCCCATGTACATCACCCTCTACTACATAGTCACCCGGCTCCCTGACTCCCTTCGCTCGGTCAGGGACCAATTCCTCTCTGTTTGCCCCACCACACTCACCGTTGACCTCCTCGAGGAGCGCCTCCTGGCAGCTGAGAAGAGTATAGTCGCTGTAGGAGCCTCTAGAGGTGACCCGCGTGCCCCTGTCTTTGAGGGGTGCTCCCCCTCCCCCCTTTTGCCCTCTGTTGCCTCTGCTGCTGCCGTCGACTTCGTTGGCACCGAGTCGGTCGGCGCTGCGTCTGCCCCTAGCGGGCGACGCCGCACCGGCAATGGCAAGGGGGGCAAGGGCGCTGGAGGAGCTGGTGGGGGCGGTGGAGGTGGCGATGGAGGAGGCGGAGGGAGTGGGGGTGGTGGTCAAAGTGGTGGCGGGGGTGGGGGCTTCGGTGGCGGCGGTGGCGGCGGAAGCGGCGGCGGCGGTGGCGGTGGGAGCGGAGGAGGAGGCGGTGGCGGCGGTGGCGGAGGTGGCGGCGGAGGAGGTGGAGCTAGTCGGGGTGGCTCTGGGCAGCGGGGCGGCTTAGGTGGTGGTCAGCGCCAGCAGCAGCAGCGCACTCGTGAGACCCCGTCCCCCTAGCAGCTTCATGAGTGGTACGCTGGGCGTTAGCGAGGTGGGGGTACTGGTCCGTGTACCTACGTCCTGCGTACCGGCGACCGCGCTAGTGAGCAGTGCGGGGGCTCGCACTCCACCCAGCGCCGCTTCGGCCGCCTGACGGACGCTTGGCGTCACCAGTTCCCTGACGCCACTGAGATCCCTCATTGGGGAGAGCTGTATAGGGTGGGGGTTACTACCTTTGATCTTGACTATGATGCAATTCTTGCTGCCATGTATACTGTGTCTACTAGTGATGAGGGTGACTGTTACCTGTGTGTTCCGCCTGACCCGGGCATTGAGGTTGCTGCTCTAGGTGCTGGTGAGGCTGCTGCTCTAGGTGCTAGTGCGTCTGCTGCCCCATGTGCTGGTGAGTCTGCTCTCTCAGGTACCACGTCGGCTCAGGCCTTACACACCTTCACCCTTGACTCGGGTGCTTCCCGCTCCTTCTTTCAAGAACGCACCACGCTTACGCCGCTAAAGTCGGCCGGTTGCGGTCTCCCTGGCGGACCCCTCTAGGGGTCCTGTCCTTGCTCGCTTCTCCACTGTCTTACCGTGTCTGGCAGCCCCCTCTGGCACCCTGTCTGGTCTCTACCTCCCCTCGTTCTCTACGAACTTGGTGAGTGGTGCTGATCTACAGGATGGGGGGGTTGACCAGTTCACTCCAGCGAGTCAGCGGGTGACCCACTGTACGTGAGCTCAGACGGGCCGACACTTGGCCACGTTTACCTGTTGGCCGGGGTCGAGCCTGTACACACTGACTACTGAGTCTCCTCCGGTTGCTGAGTCTGGTCAGGTAGCTGCGTCGAGTCAGGTGTTTGCTGCAGCGTCCAGGTTTGGACCTGAGTCTGCTCCCTGCTCGTGTCGTCTCCTGTCCCACCAAACTCTCCTCTGGCACCACTGCCTTCGTCACCCCTCCCTGCCTCGTCTCCGAGGCATGGCCTCCCGTGTCCTTGTCTCTGGTCTCCCCCGGTCCCTCCCTCCCCTCCCTCCGGGGCCTGCCCCTACCTGGGTTCCCTGCGTCGAGGGGCGGCAGCGTGAGAAACTTAGAACGAGAATGGATGAACTATGAATGAACTGAGTACAAGTACTAACCCTAATTGGGTTGTACCCCTTATGGGCTACCCCACTATAGCCTACACAATAAGCATAAGCTATAGTTTCTGACACACCCCCATAGGGGGAGAACAAGGGGTCACAAGACCAGTCAAGCAAAGCAAAGCAAAGCAAGCTCAAGGTGGATCACAAAGTCACCACACATTCCGAGCACAAGTTCAAGGCCACAAGGCCAGTTCACATGCAGGAGTACATATATATAAAGGACTAGACAAGCAAGAGCAGGTGTATATATAAGCAACAGTACAAGCAAGGTCAAGAGGTGAGCAAGTGAGGCAAGACAGGCACAAGACCCAGCTGCGTGCAGAAGCGCTGATGATCACAAGGCGCAAGTGCCTTGGTGAAGACATCAGCAGTGTTGGCCTCAGAGGCCACGTACGCAAGTCACAACTGACCACGCTGCTGTAGCTCACGAGCAAGAAAGTAGCGAAGAGCAATGTGCTTTGTTCTGCGCTCCAGTCTCTGCTCTCGACACAAGGCCAGCATGGCCTTGTTGTCTACGTACAGGACTGGAGGAGAACAAGGCGACTCTCCAAGGTCAGTCAGCAGGTAGGTGAGCCAGCGAAGCTCCTGTGCAGCCATGGCCCCGGCGTAGATCTCAGCCTCACAACTGGAGCCGAGAACAGAAGACGAGCGAGTAGCCCGCCACGAAACAGAGCCGGAACCAAGGCTGAAGGTGTAACCCTGTGACGACCGCTGCGTAGCCTGGTCGTCAGCCCAAGAAGCGTCCGCGTGCCTAGTGAGGACCACTGGACTCCGCCCTCCAAGCACTAGCCCCATGCCCGACGTACTGCACAAGTAGCGCAACACCCTCTTCGCTGCAGCCATGTGCTCTGGTCGGTGTCTACCAGGAGCAACATAGGGTGCGAGAATGCTAAGAGGGTATGCAAGGTCAGGTCGTGTGCAGGTCATCAGGTACATGAGGCAGCCAACAAGCTCTGGATACGGGCCACTCGACTCTACGGACTCATCCGAAGGCAGAGCTGAGAGCGAGTGGCGAGTAGGCAGAGGAGTGGCCTGAGGCGAGGAGTACGTGAAGCTGAAGCGCTGAAGGACCTGCTGCACCATGTGTGACTGAGTCAGTGTAATGGTGCGCTGTGCTCTGTCCCGGGTGATCTGCAAGCCAAGGTAGCTGCGCAGTTCACCCAGGTCTGTGCACGTGTGTCTCTTCTGCAGCTCGGACTTCACGTAGGCGAGTCCAGCAGTGTCAGCTGTGGCAAAGACCAAGTCTTCGACGTACACGAGGATGTAGAAGGGCGGCAAAGAGGTGTCGGTGCGCAGAAACAGCGAAGAGTCGGCTGTAGAAGGAGCAAACCCAAGAGCCGCAAATGTAGTCCTCAGTGTGTCGTGCCACTCACGGGGTGCCTGGTGGAGACCGTAGACTGGCCGCCGGAGGCTCCATTGGGTACCATGGGGAAACGACCTAGTGAAGCCAGGTGGGCGGCGCAGCCAGATCTCCTCGTGCAGGCTCTCCTGCAAGAAAGCTGTGCTGAAGTCAGCTCGTAGTCACGGTGAGCAGCAACGTGCAGTAGTACCCGAAGAGTGGTCATCTTCGGGGTGGGAGAGAAGGTCTGAAAGTAGTCAACTCCCTGCCGCTGACTGAAGCCACGACCCACGTAACGCGCCTTGAAGACAGGTGGAGAACCCGGCGGCTGCTTCACCCTGAAGATCCACATACCACTGACGATGTTCGCCCCAGGAGGGGGAACAGCGTCAACGTAGGTGCCTGTGGACTTCGAGGAAGCCATCTCTGCATCCATAGTTGCCTGCCACTAAGAGGAGTAGGGACCCTCTATCGCCTCCGCGTAAGAGCGCGGAGTCGGGATGTCAAGTGCATCCGGGTCTCCCTCAGGGGTAAGCAGTACGGACACGAGATGAGGTTAAGCAGCTGCCAAGCATTGGAACTCCTCCTGCCTGTCCTCAAGGACGTCAGTGCCAAGGGCACACTCACCCCCGACGGACGGAGGACAGACACACTCAGACTCAGCGACAAGACTAGCAGCGTAGTCTAGGTGACCGCGAGCAGCAAAGTCGACGAGCTCAGCAACTAAGGCAGACGCAGCAGTAGACTCGAAGGAAGGGTCAGTGATGATAGTAGCAAGGAGACGCGTGACAGTAGGACTGGCAGCACGAAGAGAGTCCGACTCCGAGTCGGCAAAAGCAGGAAGAGAAGACTCAGGAGGACAAGGCAAAGGGGCACGCAGAGGAGCAGTGGACGGACGCAGAGACATCCTGTGCGTGCCAGGGACAATAGGAAGACGCTGACGTGAACCACGACCACTAGCGCGAGCAGCACGGACAGGCGACGCAGGGCAAGACGCAGGCTCACAACGCTCAGTAAGACCTCCAGTAGGACCAGTGTAGGGAGAAGGAGCAGGCAACGGGGAGGTAGGGTGCAACTGTAACTGTGACGGGACTGGCTGTGGACACTCTAAAGAAGGAGGAGGACCAGTAGAAGGCGGGAGACCAAGAACCTGCTGCAGGAGTGGAACGAAGTACGGTCGAGGCCGCGCGGCGACGCCAGACACAGCAGGTACAGCACCAGTACCCCCAGCAGGAGCACCCGCTCCAGCTGCACCTCCAGTAGCGCCAGAACCTCCAGCAGTACCAGGAGTACCCGCAGCAGGACCGCCAGCAGTAGTCTCAGCTCCACCACCCTCAGCAGCACCAGCTCCAGTCGACCTCGCTGGCCGAGCTGCTCCAGTACCCTCAGTACGAGCACCTCCGGGACCCGCGACAGCAGCACCCTCAATAGCCGAAGAACCTCCGGCACCAGCAGCACGCCTCCAGCGCCGGGCAAACCACTCGCGCAGCTCCTGTGGAGAGAGTGGCTCCCGCAGAGACGAAGCACCCGGAGAACACCCAGGCGGAGCACCTCCAAGCTCAGCACCCCTAGGCTCAGCACCCCCAGGCTCAGCACCCCCAGGCTCAGCACCCTCGGACGAAGCACCCCCAGGCTCAGCACCCCCAGGCTCAGCACCCCCAGGCTCAGCACCCCCAGTCGCAGCACCCCACTATAGCCTACACAATAAGCATAAGCTATATGTTCTGACACAGCGCGCCGCCCCTCACTCCTCCGAGTTTCCTCCGACAGAGGCTCCCCTGCAGACTCTTCACATGGACGTGTGGGGCCCCGCCGGCGTCCGTGGCCAGGGTCACGAGCGTTACTTCCTGTTGGTGGTTGACGACTACTCGCGTTACACCATGGTGTTCCCCTTACGCAGCAAGGGTGACGTCACTGAGGTGTTGATCGACTGGATCCGCGCAACTCGTCTCCAGCTCAGAGAGAGTTTCGGCTCGGACTTTCCTGTTTTGCATCTGCACTCTGATAGAGGCGGGGAGTTTTCCTCTGCCCGTCTAGGAGCCTTCTGTCGTGCATAGGGCATGCGCCAGACCTTCACGCTTCCGACCTCTCCATAGCATCATGGGATTGCTGAGCGCCGCATTGGCATGGTCATGGACGTCGCTCATACGTCCATGATCCATGCGGCTGCTCCCCATTTTCTGTGGCCGTTTGCGGTTCAGTACGCAGCGCATCAGCTCAACCTTCAGCCCCGGGTCTCCTTGCCAGAGACCTCCCCCACCTTGCGGTGGACGGGGAAGGTTGGCGATGCGTCTACGTTTCGGGTCTGGGGATCTCGGGCGTTTGTCCGTGACTTGTCTGCTGACAAGCTGTCCCCCCGTGTTGTTCCCTGCGTCTTCCTTGGCTTCCCCCCTAACGCGCCTGGTTGGCAGTTTTACCACCCCACCTCGCGCCGTGTTCTGTCCTCCCAGGACGTCACCTTTGACGAGTCGGTGCCTTACTACCGTCTCTTCCCCTACCGCACTGCGCCCCTCCCCCCGCCGCCGCTCTTCCTTGCACCAGGTCCTCCCCTGGTAGACCCTCTCCCCCCTCAGGGTCCTGCCCCGTCAGGTGTGTCCCAGGTAGACGCAGTCGAGCCTGTCGAGGTAGCTGTTGACTCTGGTGCTGCTAGGGGTGCTGAGCCTGCGGGTGCCGGGTCTGGGGGTGCTGAGCCTGGGGGTGCGGTGTCAAATTATAATATTGTGTAGGCTATAGTGGGGTAGCCCATATGGGGTACACATTATCACATGGAATCAGAGCAGGTCCCCTCTTAGGGACTGTTCCTAGGGCCCACAAGTCGCGCCTCGAGTCGCGCTCTCCCTTACGCCGCCCTAGCGGCCCCGCCGCGCCGCCCTTACGGTCGCGTCGAGCCGCCCTAGCGGCCCCGCCGCCCCATCGCGCGGCCCCGCCGTCCTACCTAGTGGCCCGGCCGCCCTTCCTCGCGGCCCCGCCGCCACATCGAGCGGCCCCGCCGCCCTTCCTCGCGGCCCCGCCGCTCCATCGCGCGGCCCCGCCGCCCTGCGGCCCTACTCGCCGCCCTACCTGCGGCCCTACTGCCGCC